GAAAGAAACCAAATGGTTCAACTACAAGTACTCCATTTTAACAGGGAATAGCAGTGATGGTCCTTATGTGAGGACACATCTGAACAATCCAGCAAGAAAGGATAGCGATGTTCATGAAGGTGGAGGATCCAACTGTTCAGCAAGGCTCAAACTTGCAAATACACCGGTGCCAAAGCGTCCATGAGACACACACTGAGCTGCAGCCATAAGCTGCTGTGCACTACTCTCCTGCACGTTTATTTTAAACCTCAGCTGAAGTCTATGGGAGTAAATTTCCACCCTGCGTCTGCATGGACTTTTGGCTGCATGCCCTTACAGCTAAGGTTAAATAAGACTACAAATCAATTAGAGCATGCAGAAGGGCCAGCTCAGCCTCCAAAAAAGAGTCAGCAAATTGCCTGCTCGTGATCTCTGTGCTTCCATATATGCTTTGACTACTCTGAATGCCAAGCCACCTTAAAGAGGAAAAAAAATAGTTACACACCAGAGAAGCAATTATTCAACAAAAACTGTATTTACTTTACTTTTATATTAATTGATGCAGAAACAAATCTCTCCAGGGACTTCTCTTCCTCTTTTGGGCATGGATATGGATCAGGCAGGCTAATAAACACTCAAAAACACCCACGCGAGAAAACCCTGACAGCTGTGAAATATCACAAAGAAAAATCTAAACCAGAAACAGGGAAAAAAATGGGGATTAGGAACTCATTTCAGGTTTTATGCAGCTGAATAATTGTACTCAACAGCCTCTGATTTAAGGAGTTAGGTCATGCTATAAAACACTGGGGAATACTCTCAGCAAAGGAGCCAGAGGAATTATTTGGTGTGTCCATGTCTGCCCTTCCTTTGGAGCACAGCTCAAAAGATTCTCAGCAGAATTCGACTAAAAAGGACGGGCAGCATGACCATGTGCCCCTGCTTCAGTAAATCAACATTTACATTTATGTATCATGCTAAATGTAAGGCAGTCCCTAAAATTAAGGAAAAGTAGCAAAAATCCAACCAGAAATGTACACCTTCCCAATACAATCTGATGTCCCAGTGGCAAGCTGACAGGCAAACCAGGCGTCTTGTTCAATACCTTCTCCAAAGGCAGAATAACTAAACTGTCAGACACAGCACACTTGGCTAGCCCTATAATCCTGCCCATTTTCTCCAGAGATTACCTAGAAAACCACAAATCCCAGAAATACAGCATGGAGAAGACTTGTGACTACTTCTACCAAGAGAATCTTCCATACACAACTCAGTCCATCATTTGGTTGCTCTGCTATATCTCATACAGCCTCAGGAAAAAAAAAAAAAAGGAAAAGAAAAAAAATCCCCACAAAAAACAGAGTCTACTCTGGCAAATTCATTAAGGAAGAGTCTCTAGAAAGAACTGGCTTATCCAGCAGGTCTGATAAACATGTGTAAACCTACAAAAAGAAAGAAGCGAGGAAGAAATAGTTTATAGAAGCAACCTGATCGTCAAGTCTGTCAACTGCCATATTAATACATATTACGTGCTCTTTTTGAGCTCTCTGAAACTAGAAATCATTAGTCAAACATGTTTAATACTCAGTCAGTACTCAGAACTTTATATATATACACACAAAGATATATTTATATGTGTGCATGCGCATGTATGTGTATATGCACACACACACACTGCTATATAGGGTATATCTATATTAAGGCAATACAAATTTAAAGATGCTCAGACAAGAGTGACTCAGTCACAGAAAACAAGGGAGAAGAGATCAGTCTAAGCCATGACAGATACCAGATTTCCATGCTGCTAAGGCTGGATTGCTTCTGGCAAAAGCAGGAAGGACGTTTAAGCAAACAAAACACATAAAAAGGAGAGTTGATCACAAGGGAAAAGAAAAGCTAGGGAGCTCAAACACTTCAACCAGTTCCATGGGTAGCCCCTAGAAAAAGAAAGCCGAGAACTCCAAATCTCTACAAACTAGCCACAACTTTGATGCAGCTAAGAAAAGGCTTACTAGCAAGTGTTATTTGGAATCGGTTTTCAATTTTATGCTATTTTCTGTCCAGTTTTCTAATCAGGAACGAAATCCCCTGCTTTGCTAGAGTAAACCCAGTTCTAAGGCTTCCCAGTGCCTAAAAGTGCCTAGGGATTAACGTGAACTCAAGTGACTACAGGCACATGGCTTTCAAAGAGTGCCAGTCTGACTGGATTTGGAGAAAGCCTTTGAGAGACCTCTAAATGGAGACAGACTTAAGCTTCTCAGATATTGGCCAAAAAACAGAGAGAGAAAAGTCTCTGGGCTTAGAGACACTGGTGTCAAGCACCAGGGAAGAAGGTGGAAGTCCAAGACAGGCACCTGCTGGAACAAACAGGTGGAGCAACCACAGTGGCATGAAAACCTTTACGCAACAAAAGGCTTTGTATATAGGTATCGAAATAAAGTTCATTGGTGAACTATTTCATTACAGGGATCAGCAGTATCACAGTTACCTCTGAAATCTTCCCAGCACTGCTAGACTCGAGTTAACTAACAGTCCGCTGCTGTTAATCTGTGTTTATGCCAAGTTCTTCATGAAGACAGACAATGGCGAGCTCCACTCATCACTATCCTACCACATTTTTTGCTACACGTTCATTGGATTTTTACAGTAGTCTTCCCATTGGACTTGGCTTCAACAATCACTTTATATAAGCTCTGGGTACCCAGCATCTAGACCTGCAACTGCTTCCTACATGCCCTTTCCTAGTTACCAGACAGGACCTTACACTTTTCTCCCTTTTCCTATAAAGAACAAGTTTTATTATGAAGGTAATATGGTGGAAAAGATGTCACTGCTTCCCAAACTGACACAAACATAAAAAGAAACACTATTCTTCCTTCCCAGATGAGCTGCAGAACACCAACTTGCTGCTCTCCAGAGCTTTTTCCAGACAACAACCAACAAACTCGGACACAGTTATCTTCACATGCTGCCACCTACATGGAAATACTTTCAAGCCAATTACGTAGCATTTTGTACTGAACGGCAAAGAGGCCTTGCAACTTCAACTGCAACGTTACCACTGCTGGTGGTGTGCTGGGTGCACCTCTGCCCTAGGGACAAGTTCACATTGGTCCCATTTTGCAAAAGGGTAGCAGTGGAAAGCTCACTGGCACAGAGTAAAGAAATAGAGAGAGAAGAGCAGAAAGGAGTTGGAAAGAAAACTTCTCACTGAAGCATTAAGATTTGCTGGTCATGGATGGAGACCACCTCTTTAAAAACAAAACCAGCATTGCCAAGAATCAGCCATGTGGAGTTGAAACAGCAAAGTGGAAAAATCCAGTGTCGACCTCAACATCAAGTTAAAGATTTCCAAAGGAGTTTTACTCAAGTTATTGTTAAAAAAGGCAGCAGGAAGTGTCCTGAAGTTTTAACACGTCAAGTGTTTGCAGGGGGTTTCTGAAAACCATTTGGCAGTTGTCTTCTGCTTGTCTCATGAAATTCTACTTCACTTCAGCCAAGCTTCAAGCTTGTTAAAGCAGCAAACAAAAAAAAACCCAAAACCAAGCTTTTCTTCACAGCATTTCCCTTCCTGTATACATGCTGCTCAAGGAATTTCTAGTTATGTGCTAAATGAGCACAACATAGTTTAAAACAGCAACAACCATGTCACACTGGAAATGCCCGCTATCACCATGCAAGGGGAAGGAAAGATGGGCTGATCCAAAAAAATAATAATAACTTTTTAAAAACCACACTTCTCTTTGCTGCAAAGTGGTTTTGCAAGCTTCCCATAGGCACAGGGCCAGGCATCCCCCAAGCACCTCTCAAAGAGGTAACAACAGCGCTCCTCCAATTCTCCCTCTGTGCACTGCACAAGACTGCAGCGTCCTGCCACCCACAGCTTATCCTGGAGATGTCAGCTCCTTCTCCAGCTCCCAAGCCCAGCAAGTGGGTGGGTTGGCTCTTCTACTCTGTTGACCCACTTTGTGGCAGCAGCAGTGAATTAATAGCCTTCCAGTAGCTATCGGCTCTCGCACAGAGTCCTTTACAGCACTGTGGACACTGTGTACCGACACCTGAAGACAACTAAGGATGTAATCTGATTTTTTTAAATGAAAAATTATAACATTTATAGAAATTATTTTATAAGTATAATTTATAAACATATTTATAACTATATATAAAAAGATCAGAGGAAGTTCAGATGGTCATCTAGCCCATTTCCCCACTTCACAGCTTATATTAACTCCCACATGGGCCAGAAAGAAAACTGTACTTAAAAAAAAAAAATTAATTCTTTCTTTTACTTCAAGGATGATCCTACTTTAAAAGCAGGAGGCTGGTTGGACCAGATGCCATCCTGAGGTCCATTTCATCTTGAATTCTCCTATGATTCCCAAAATGCCGGTACATACAGAGACAAGGAAGCTGTTATAACTTCACATTAAACAAAACTTTGTAAACCCTTTTTAAAGAAGCCAAGGAACTTTTATACCTAGACTGAAAGAAAACATAAATGGCAGTGTATACTTCTTGAGATTTGTTAAATCCAGCTATTTACTCCTTCTGGAGCATAAGCATTCTGACAAATGCTATAATCACGCAATCATGCATTATTCTTTCCTTTGGACTTTGAAACACAGCCTGCATCTGGAACAGATGCACAAGGAAGGGGATCAGAAGTCTGGGCCTAGAGTGCTTAACACTCAATCCTAGAAAACATATATGCACATATGGAAAGGTGGTGCTAGAACATGCAAATAAAGTCTGGCTGTGCTCTACTAAATCAAAAAAAAAAAAGGTAATGTATTCAAATCTGTTCTGCTCTTGTTGTGCTATACTAATAACACTACTCCCCATGGACCACACACTTCCATACTGAAAAAGGCCTGCTCCAACATGATCTACTGGGCACCACTACAGCATTTTCTCAGTGTTATCACGTCTACTATCTTCACACTCCTGTCTCTAGCAACGCAAACAGTTCGGTTATGCCCCAGATGGGTACCAGGAGCCATTGTCTCGTTTTTCATTCTTACCTTCTCTCCGCTGGAGTAGAAGAAATAACGCAATCGGACAATGTTACAATGATCCAACTTTCTCATAATCTGGAGCTCTCGGTTCTGAAGCAAAAGGAGAAGAGCAAATAATTAGGTAAACTATTTTCTCATGACTTTAGAGTAGTGTAATGAACACCTAAATATACAGGTACAGAAGCTGACAAGACTCAGAAATGAAAGAACCACTGAACAAGAAGCAACAGCTTTCACACATTTATTAGTCTTACTTTCAGTTACTTTATCACTTCTTACTTAGAGTATTGACTTCTTTGACTACATTTTCCCCTCTAACGCAAACATCCACAAATCCATCACAAAATCCAAGAACTATCTACTTATGTTACCCAAGTTTCAGTGATAAAAGGCAAGAAGTCATTAACTTTGCATGTTTATTTTCTGATCTTACAATAATAAAACGTATCAGCCAGAATGACTGGAAGCCTATCCCCTTGAATACTGTCAAAAAATGAAAATAATGGAAAAGCAAACATCACATTTCCACCTACGTGCCTGCTCTCCTCCACACTGCAAAACAGGTTTGTGACGGACGATCTCTTCCCATACCGTTCTTTTTGCAATACCAACAAAAAGCAGCTGAAATTAAGCAGACAACTCAATTCCCACTTTTGTTCAACTGAGATTTAACCGGGTTTAGGCAGACAGAATAACTTGTTATTGTTCCCTTTTTATATCAATCAGAAAAAGTTGTTAAAATAAGATCAGTTCATTACATGGATGATAAACTGTGGGCTTTTACTGCAATACCCATTGTGACTGAGCCCTAAACAAATGAGTGATCTTCTAGTCTAACAGATAAAAATGAGTGAAATATTGAACTGAAGGTATGAATTTAAAAAAGCAAGTAAAATTAGCACAGCTACGTGTGTTACACTTCATCCCACAGCTGTCACTACAATACTCCTTTCTCCTGTGGCCACATTTACACATCCCTGGTTTTCCTTCCTCTATTACTATGCAATCTGCAGCTTCAAAAATAGAAGGTATTCCAATTTTCACCTGGATCACGGGGTTGCCAATCACGTACTCCAACCAGCTAGCACCAATATGCTAGACTGATACTACTAACATCATGTGGCCAACTTGAGGAATATTTTGGAAGAAAATTCTTTAGCCACCATGCTTCTTCATACTTTAAATGCCCAAAGCTAACACCTACTCTGTGTGGTGCTGCTGTTGAAATAAGGATTTCGTATTCTATATATCAGCGGTCATGTACTGTGCTTATCGCTACGTTTAAAGCTTAAGGAACTCTGTAAGAACCGCTCAGAGCTTTTTATGTGAACATGGCTATGAACTCAGCTTTTAATTCCTCTAAGCCATGTAGCCTTAAAAAAAAAAAGAGGTGTTAGACAGGATGCAGTATCATTAATCCCATCATCCTTGCCACATGCTGACTGAAAAAATACTTCAGTATTAGGCAGCTCTTTGCAAACACGAGTGCCATCTCACACAATTATCAGCTGGCAATTCTCCAGCCGGCAGTTAAGGAGAAAGCAAGTCCTTCCCTGAGCCTGCCCAGCTTCTCAGCAGATTAAAGCCTAAGTCCCTTAGGTGCACACCAAGACAGGCCTATTCTGTCCCGAAGGATGAAGAGAGAAAGTAAGAGAAAGCAAGGAGAGACCATTGAGGCTTACACGTATCTCCCAAAATCCCATAGGGTGACTTTGTGAAAGACGAACACAGAATTCATCAGATAACCTTGTCAACAGGTTTCACATTTCCCACAGTATTCTCCTAGTAGGAAGAGGAGCTCAAGTACGCTCCACTTATTAATTCTTTATTAAATACTACTAAAAATAAGTCCATTTTGAGAGTCATGGCTGGGGTTTCTGGTATGCATGACACAGTTCAGACTTCAGACCAACAGAAAGACCTCATCCTCTTGTCTTGTCTGAAGCACACGCCGCTGCTGGCTCAGTGGTGTCTCCCTGGGCCTTAAAACCTGGGTCATACTTCAACTAGCGAGCCAAAGGAGGGATGGCTCTAGATCCCATCGGCCACAGAAACACCAATTATGACAAGATAATTTCTTCAGTTGGCTTTGACAGCACTTAATGTGGTACTACAGGACTGAACCTAATGCTTCAAGTTCCAGCATCTCAACCAATTTCCATCAGCAATTCATAGCACAATGTAAGGCAAGTCATTTCTTCATCCCTCTTGTTGGAAGGTGGGAATTATACTTTTTTATTTCCTGGAATTACCAGAAGAAACATGAATGCACCAAGCAAGAATGTGCAAATATTATTTTGGCAATATCTCTACTAGCTCCTTAAAATACCCATATATACTCTAAGTCGGGTTATCACTTCATGTTCTTTAGATAGTACGTATAGACTTAAAAAAAAAAAAACAGCAGAAGTTATTCTAACACTAGGCTGAAGTTCTATTTATACACTGGTATCTCATCCTAGCACAAGCAGTCTGTGCCCACTTTGATGCCTTCCACTCTGATCCATCTCCTTCGGCTCTCATCCTGACCATCTGCTGCAGCTGCACAAACAGTGCTTCAAGAGGTGTTAATATCAGGGATAACTCCTAAACCAGTTACACAGTAACCTACATCTCTCATCCTGTGGCTAGACAGAAGGAAACAAATCTAAACTGGCGTCTTAGTCAAACAGTCACCTCAGCCATCTTAAAACCAAGCTGACTTCTAATCACCACTCCCCGGTGGAGTTAAAACTGGAAATACTTGAGCAGTTGTAAAGCTCAAATTGGATGTGGCAGGGGAACAGCTACTGATGTTCATGTAACTGACTGACGCTTTAAAGAATTCATTTTTTGCCTCAGATGAATACTTGACATAGTCTTACTTTACCATGTATTTCCCCATACACATCTTAAACAAATAAGATTTTTTCGCATTATAATGTGGGCTATTCATTACCAGTGCACAAATGCACAGGGGGTGTGGGAGGTGGGAAATCAGATTATGAGCAGAGAACCTTTAGTGAAGTGAACAATGACAGATGTCCTACATCAAGAAAAATGAGAAAATGCGTGTCTAAACATAATGCAACCTAAAACCATTTCAAAACATGCTGATGAGAAAGGCTGACAGTGCACGATCAAAATACAGGGTGGATGAAAACAAAGCTCATGCTTATCGTTAACTCATCATTTTTATCTTCCAAGAGACATGGGTGTAAAGTCAAAGACTCAAAGAGGAAGTTATTCTTCCCTATTCTCCCACCCATTCACACGAAGAAAAGGGTTTAGTTTTGTTACTGAATGAGAGTGGTAAGCACTGAAGAAAGCAATACCCTTCAGCACCAGCCTCATCACAAGAGAGGACCCGGCAGACTTCTGTTCACACTGAAACACAGAGCTCCTGCAGCACGCGTTCCTTCAAGGAGCAGCAACCAATGTGTAACGAACAGATTAGCAAATTTCTGTTGATTTTGCAGTTTGATTTCTTTGCCTAAAATAAGATTTCTTGATCCAGAAGGCAAGGGGCTGCTGACACAGAACTCCAGATGCAATCAGTGCATTTGAGCCCTTCACCTGAAGCAAACCCAAAGAGACAAAACCTTGCTCGTCACTTCTGAAGACAACTTTCCTAGCCTAGACTGCGTCTCTTCATTATATTGAAGAAATCTGGTTGCTCATCACGGTGAAAGATTTGGTTAAAGACTGCCAAGACAACACCAGATTTATAACTTCAAATCACAGTCAGAAAAGCTCATGCATGAAGACTCATGTCTTGTCTCTAAAGTTACAACTCCAATTCCTCATAACTGTGCTAATGCTGCAGTCGATATAAAACCACCAGAGCAAGCTCATTTCCGCCTCACTACTGTAATCTGCTATTACAGACTAGGATAACCATCATCCCCCCACACACACTCCCTTCCCTCCCCATTCAGAGATTTGTAGAGCTATGCCAGTCTATGTTCACCACCCCAACCTGGATCTCCATCTTTTTTTTTCTCTCCCTCCTGCCTTTCCTTCCCCATCCCTTTTTCCAACAGGGGATAAAATGACTGGTTCCTGAGAGATGCTGCCTTATGGATTTGCAACTTCTTGAACTAGACCAGAGCAAATGAAGGTGGAAGGTCTTGTACAGCTCATGCCAGCAGAGCATTATCAATATGTACCCAATGAAGTGTAGAAGTACCACCTAGATACAGTTCAGAAAAAAATTTGTTAGCTTCCTTAGCTAAAGTGTATGCCGGGTTTTGCTCTTCATTTTTGGTTTCGAAATGCCTGTTTAAAGTCTCAGCAAGGTTTTTTGAGGATTAGGTTCAAAACAGATGAACTGGGAGAAATGAGAAAATTGTATTTTTGCCTTGCATCACATCAAGGGCATGACCTGGTTCTTGTGAACAGATAAGATTGTGTACATCTTGTCCTTTTAAGAGAGGATATCTTTTTGATGAAAAGGCCGGGATAAGCTAACAATCTATTTCAACAAGCAACTTCAGCAAGTCATCTTGCTTAAAGCAACTAAGGCCAGCAACTGAAGTTAATTCTGATTTTTGCACTTTTTGAACTGCTTTTTATTCTTCTCAGGGTAATACCTCCAAATGCCAAAGCTCAGCATCTTACATTCTTCTATCAGACTGAAAAAACAGAAAATGCAGGGTAATTCTCATATGGACTCTGGCAGTATAGATGGAAGGAAGCTGCACAGGTAAATCTAAATTTCTCAGTATACACAATCCTCTTCCTCTTGCACATGTCACGTATACAGATTCCTCCTTTCTCCTGCTTTCATCATAATTTTCTCCATTCTACCATGTTTCTTATTCTTCAGTAAAGGCTTTCCCACAGTGAAGAGCTGGAGCAGGGAGCCACAGGCAAAGCTGGGGAAGAAACCAGTTTCCAGCAGGAGGTATGAAGGCAGCAGTGGAGCAGCAGGACTTGCTTTCACTTCCCCCAATTCCTTCCACTTGAACAGCCTGAATGAGCCATCATCTCCACTCACCTTCCCCTGCTGCACTGCTGGGCCTGCCCAGGGAACAGGCTCAGGCTGAGCCCCTGATTGATTCAAAGCATTTTCACACAGCAGGAAAAAGACCCCTTATCCTGGCCATGTC